TGGGGGCAGAGCAATTCTGCCTCCAGCTTCCTGTAGTCAGCCCCTGGTCAGTTTCAGCAGCAGCGGCTGAATCTGGAGCCAGTTCCGACTTACATATAAATTCAACTTAAGAACAAACCTATAGTCCCTATATTGTACGTAACCCGGGGACTGCCTGTATTTGAATAGTACAATAATGGAAGGGGGAAAAAAAAACCTTGTCATTCTATGAATAAATATCATACACAGCACATTAGCTAATAACTAATGTCAACAGTGTGATAAGTTTTCACAATGCTGTCACAGAAGACTACTTTAATTACAGTACAGTCTTCCTTGCTCTTTATTTTAAGAACATAAGAATAGCCATACTGGGTCAGACCAAAGGTCCATCTAGCCCAGTAGCCTGTCTGCCGACAGTGGCCAATACCAGGTGCCCCATAGGGGTGGACCGAAGACAATGATCAAGCTATTTATCTTCTGCCATCTATCTCCAGCCTTTGACAAACAGAGGCCAGGGACACCATTCTTTACCCCCTGGCTAATAACCTTTTATGGACCTAACCTCCATTAATTTATCCAGCTCTTTTTAAACTCTGAAGGAGTTCCACAGGTTGACTATGCATCTATCTCCAGCCTTTGACAAACAGAGGCCAGGGACACCATTCTTTACCCCCTGGCTAATAACCTTTTATGGACCTAACCTCCATTAATTTATCCAGCTCTTTTTAAACTCTGTTATAGTCCGAGCCTTCTCTGGCAAGGAGTTCCACAGGTTGACTATGGTGTGAAGAAGAACTTTCTTTCATTAGTTTTAAACTTGCTACCCATTAATTTCATTTGGTGTCCTCTAGTTCTTATATTATGGGAACAAGTAAATAACTTTCCCTTATTCACCCTCTCCACACCACTCATGATTTTATATACCTCCATCATATCCCCCCTCAGTCTCCTCTTTTCTAAACTGAAAAACCCAGTCTCTTTAGCCTCTCCTCATACGGGACCCGTTCCAAACCCCTAATCATTTTAGTTGCCCTTTTCTGAACCTTTTCTAATGCCAAAATATCTTTTTTCAGGTGAGGAGACCACATCTGTATGCATTATTCAAGATGTGGGCGTACTATAGTTTTATATAGGGGCAGTAAGATATTCTTCATCTTATTTTCTATCCCTTTTTAATAATTCCTAGCATCCTATTTTCTTTTTTTATTTTATTATTTTTGTTTCAAGGAAGCAAAAGGCCATTGAAAAAACCCTTATATTTTAATCGAGGTTAAATTTTCAAAAGTGACTGATGATTTTATGGTGCCATCATTTTGGGGCCCACTGCCTGAGACACCCTACAAGGACCTGATCATCAGAGGGCAAGGACTTAGCCCCCTTTATGCAAATCGGGGCCCTTTCACCTGTCTCAGGTTGGGCACCCAGACATTAAGGCATTGAAAATGATTAGGACTTTTGGAAATTTAGGTCTTTCTAAAAGTAGGAAGCATTACAAAAGCCACTGCAAACATTCCAGTAACTTCCTTTACAATTCTATCAGAAACAATTATTTTTAAATCAGCTCTTCCTGGGCCATTGTACCACAGCTATAACCAGTGAGGTGCTTAAATTGGAACCCCTATGCTATAAATAAGGGGGTGCTGCTGGCCTGGCTTTCTTCATTAAGATGCCCTTCCCTTTAGAACTCACTCCTTGACTCCACATGATCTAAGCCAACTTGAATGCTTATCTTTGAACGCATCTGAAGAAGGGGAGGAATAGTAGCTGGGAAGGGAAGATTGGGTTTAACCTTTCATTGGTTTTAACCTTTCGTTTTGTTGGCTGGGGGTGACATGCGATAGAATTGCTGCAGTGTATTTACAAATATGAGAATCCTGATGTGTGTGTTTTAAATGATGTCAATGGTGAGTCACTAAAGTGAATGGGCAGATAGATGCTCTTTTGTTTATTAATTTAGGGCTATAGTAGGCGGTGGGGAGGGGAGGAACTGTACCCTTCCTGGCACCACATGGCTTCTGCCTCCCTGAGCACCAGGCAGGAGGAGAGGGGCTGCATGACTCCTGGTGCCATGCAGCTCATGCCTCACTGCTCGTGGTGCCGTGAGGCTTCCACTCCTCCTTCCCCCCAGCACTGGGGAGGGTGGGGCTGTATGGCTCCTGGCACCACATGGCTTCTGCCCTCCCAAGCACTGGGGAGGAGGGAAAGGGGAGAGGCCATGCAGTGCCATACAGCTCGTGGCTCCCAGTGCCATGTGGCTTTCAATCCCCTGAACACCAGGGAGGGGAGGGGCTGTGTGGTTTACAGCTTCTGCCCCCTCCTCAGCACAGGGAGGAGTCAGGCAGGACACAGAGTGATGTGATGACATCACTCTGTTGTCCTTCAGGAAAAGCTTTATATATAGAGAGAGAAAACACAATTTCCCCCCTTGAACTCTTCTTAATCCAAATACAGTAGCACTAAGAAGCTGAAAGTGAAACTGATTTCAGTGATTTTAAAGGTCTGATCTAAGAAATCAAAGCGTATGTCTACACTACCCCGCTAGTTCGAACTAGCGGGGTAATGTAGGCATACCGTACTTGCAAATGAAGCCCAGGATTTGAATTTCCCGGGCTTCATTTGCAAGTGCGGTATGCCTACATTACCCCGCTAGTTCGAACTAGCGGGGTAATGTAGGCATACCGTACTTGCAAATGAAGCCCAGGATTTGAATTTCCCGGGCTTCATTTGCAAGTGCGGTATGCCTACATTACCCCGCTAGTTCGAACTAGCGGGGTAATGTAGGCATACCGTACTTGCAAATGAAGCCCAGGATTTGAATTTCCCGGGCTTCATTTGCAAGTGCGGTATGCCTACATTACCCCGCTAGTTCGAACTAGCGGGGTAGGGTAGACATACCCAAAGGGCTTAATTCAAAGCCCACTGAAGTCAATGGGCTCGTGATTTCAATGGTGTTTGGATCAAGCCCACAGGTACAGATTTACAGCACACCTCTGCCTATTAGGTGCTTAAATACAGGTGTAAATGTGGCCTAAAAAGCATAAACAATGAGATGTACTTTGGATTTTTAGAAAGGATTTTAACTGGATCTAAGTTTTTACTGGTAACTCAGTAAAGTAAGGGGGTTGTTTACAACATTAATGGTTAAGCTGACAGTTTCCCTTTAGCTCTCTGAAGATTATTTCTAAAGATCATCTTTTATTTCCCAGTTAGCTACAGAAATAACCTAGGAAACACAACACTTTTGCACGTCAGTGACCTCAGATAGTAAGTGGTGTACTGTTACTGTTGGTGATTATATTACATGGAGGATTTAGTTACTATATTGGTTTTCTTTTTTAAAGTAAAAATAATATTTTAAAATGATCCTTGTGCCTTTAAACATTGAACAGCCATGACTCTGTATTGGAAGACAGATGGTTTTACTTTACTACCAGGGAGAACATAAGACTGTTCACTTCATGTATGACTATGATGAAGCCACCTGCACTCGTTGCCTGATTAATGAGACTTGGACACCATCAATCTTCTTTTAACAATAGTGGGTCTCAGATGTTTGTCTATTAACAAGAGCTGCAAATTCGACAAGTTTAAATCTTCCCTCAAAAGAGAGTTCTTGTGGTTCATAAATACCTGGTGAATGGAGCTTGGTTGCTGATACTGCTAATCTCTTAGGGGATGACACAGTGGGTTTATTTGCATCTTGATCTTTTTGTACTTCTTTCTTCAAACCTGCTTTAAAAAAATAAACTTAATCATTACTTTATTTGCAACCACACAGAAGCATGGCTATAAGACGTGTAACAGCATGGCAAAACACAAATACTTTTTCAATATTACTTTTGGGCCAGATATTGAAAGCTTTGCATAGGAATTTTGCATGTGCACAATCCCACAGGCCTATGGCATGCTCAAAGCTATCATGATGCTGTGTGCCAACTGAGCATTTAAGCGAACACATGGCCAGTTATACATTTAACCAACCGTGTGGCTCTGCAAAGATGCAGCTCTGCACATGCAAACTGAGGTGAAATTCCCACACTGATGAGGGCCAGCACAAGGCTATATAGGTGCACTCTGCAAATCTTCTGGCCTTCTGCATGTGGTGTACTTCACTCATGAGCAGACGAATCCTTAAAATCTGGCATATGACGCTTATTCTGGTTTACAGCACCATGTTATTTGTGAGATGTTTTACCTGTTCTTACCAACAGGCATTTAATTTTTGAGCCTTAACAAGGTGAGAATATTGTTGCACTCATCAAGTAGCCCCAAAGTGGAGCTAAGAGCAAGCCAGAATCATGACGAGTAGAACTGTAATCAGAGAGCCTATTGTTTATCGGCAGAATTGCTGATGGGGCAAAAGAGAAAATTGCCCCAAGGTCCAGCAATGTAAAAGGCATGGCACTATGGGCTGCTATTGCCAGTACCACAGAGGCAGGAGTCCCAGGCCCTTTAAATTGCCTCTGGAGCCCACCATGGGGACTGGCTGCAGGAGGTGTGGACTGTCCAGGCAATGCTGAAGACTGGCTGCTCCTAGCCCCATCCTTTCCTCCTGAGGCTCCACCCCTTCCAGGGGGCCCAGAACTGAATTCCTCCCCTCCCCCGCCCATTGCCCAGGGCCTGGCAAAGTCTGTCACCAGCCTTCTTTATATGGTCTCTGGTCCGGTTCCTTGACTGGTTTTGTCTGTTACAGAAATAATTTTTATAGATGTAAATCCATTAAGGTGGAATATTTTCCCATTTGTTTGCCTTTTTTATTTTTAGTACTTGCAATTTTTTTAAATTGTAATTCTCAGACTCAGTAACAGCGAATGCTATTGGAAATACAATAAAACCAAAGGGAACACAAAAATGATCTCTGGTATAGGATAAACCATTTTCCATATTATAAAACTTCAGCATCTTTCATGCTTACATTCATATGTCTAAGGAAATGACAAACAGAGCACTGACAATACACTGTGTTCCCTGGAGGATAACTGAGGCAGAAAAACAAAGCCTGGTACAATTTAAAAACAACATTTTGCAATTTCAGTGGCTAGTTCCACATCTAAGACCTTGTTTCATGATGCTTCATTCAAATCTCTGTGTTGCATATGGGGAATGGATAGTAGAGTTTGCTAATCTTCTTTTAAGATTTAAATCCTGCAGGTAATGCTTGTTGGATTAACAGTTTACATAATGTCCAAAGCTGTAGTTAGAGTTACAGGTAGGGTCTCACAATAAGCCCTGGTTTTTTTGACACACCACCTTCTCGTCCCCTATATGTTAAGAGTTGCACAAAATGAACTACACACAAGAGGACATGTGCAGTGTACAACCAGTTTTATCAGTTCTACAATACAGGGAACTATGCTGCATAGTCTTTAGTGCCACCTATTGGCAATTTTAAACATTACATTCAAACAGATCTCTCTTTTATAGAGCACTTGTGTAACAACAGCACACACAGAGATTGTTAAATTCTTCTCTCAGTTATATCAATGTAAATTTGAAGTTACTCCAGTAGCAATTATTCCAGATTAACACTGTTGTAACTCAGAACAGAACAGATGCCATATGTGAGAGGTTTGGAGCTGCTTTGTAATAATTTATGAAAATCATACGTTAGTTTAGTTGTTGGATTGTTTTCTGTGTGACTATGGGTATGTCTACACATCCAAGTTAATTTTGAATTAACTTTAATAATGTCTACACAGGCAAACCGCTATTTCGAATTTAATTCGAAATAGCGAGGCACTTAATTCGAATTTGATAAACCTCATTCTACGAGGAGTAACACCAAACTCGAATTAGCTAATTCGGAATAAGTGCTGTGTAGACACTTATTTCAAAATAGGGGGCCTCCAGCCTTCCCAGGGTGCCCTGGTGACCACTCCAGCCTCAAGCAAGAACACTTCTCTCCCTTCCCCACCCTCCCCAGAGCCCTTAAAGGGGTTGACTCTGGCCACAGGGCCTGTGCCAATTCCAAGCCTGCCAGCACAGAGCCAGCAGTCACTGCCCCTGACCCAGTGGCCCCAAAACACGAGCCAGCAAGCCACTCGCAGCCAGCCCTTCACCACTCCCCAGGAGCAGTCTGCCAGTTCCCAGGAGCCTGACAGGGCCTGGAGAAGGCGAGCGCCTTCCTGGTCCGGGGTGGAGC